GAGTGGCACTTTTGGGATATGGAGCAGCAGTTCAGAGCTGTTTGGCTGCATCCTCTTTGGTTGAATCCCATGGCTTGCGCCTAACAGTTGCTGATGCTCGGTTTTGCAAACCACTGGATCGTGCTCTTATTCGCAGCCTTGCAAAATCACATGAGTTTTTGATTACAGTGGAAGAGGGATCCATTGGAGGGTTCGGATCTCACGTTGCTCAGTTCCTGGCCCTTGATGGCCTTCTTGACGGCAAACTTAAGGTATGAATGTATTGTTACGACGTATGATGTTTAATTGACTCTTGCATTAACATTGAACTCCTCAGCTACTGGTAAACAAACCTCACTTTGACGTTCTATAACTTGCAGTGGAGACCGCTGGTTCTTCCTGACCGGTACATTGACCATGGTTCCCCTGCTGATCAATTGGTCGAAGCCGGGCTCACCCCTTCTCATATTGCAGCAACAGTATTCAACGTACTTGGACAAACAAGAGAGGCATTGAAGATAATGTCATGAAGGGAAACTAAAGAATTCCCTTTTTTTCACTGTATACAAAACCAAAACTGTAATGATTTATATTTAGTTTCCCCATCTGTATAAAGTAGCATATTTGAGCAAAAGAGTGGCATTAGCTGAAGGCAACCTAACCAATCCAGTACATCAATTACCAGCTCAAACTAGTTGAGTTCCCAGATATTTTAGCATGTCCTATAAATGCAAGAATTGATTTGTAGACTAGAACAAAGCTTTTGAAGTCTTTTTCATGTTTGCAATTCCAATTCTGAGTTGCCAAGCACTTGGTTACCTCATTGCTTAACCATTATGCCAATAAACAAAAGCTAGATCTGCAAAATATTATTGAAGGACATGGTAAAGAGAGGAACAAGGGTGGAAAATTTGTTTATTTTTCTGGCATATGATATAATGCTGCCTGCTTCTTGTTGACGGTGTATGTGAATGGTGCTTATTGTTTGATAAAGTACTACAAATGTTTGAGATATGATCTACTCTGCAATCTGTAAAATCTGTCACAATCAAGAGGTTTGTGGGTCGGTGCTGGAAAATTTCACATGCATTGCATTTGTCATAATGCATCCCATTGTACTCAGATGCTAACACTTTGAGAGAGAGAGAGAGAGAGAGAGAGAGAGAGATTAGGTTGTGGAATTATTTGTTTTAAAGTCAAGAGCCAAAGCCAAAGAGGGGCACTAGAAAGAAAGATGTCAATTCCATATAGGCTTTGGCAAAAGACAACATTCCATATGTAGGCAGGAGGAGACTAGTTAGTGGTGAGTGGTGTGAAACCACATTTTATTAGTACTCCAAAGCAAGCACATACATACCCAACTGATAAAACGAAGTATATATGATATATCCCCACCTCTCCAATTATATGTCATGAATTGACATATCTCCAAAACAGTGAGTCAAAAAAATAATAGAAAGAGTTAGGCCACATTGCCCTATTCATCAGAAAATGAAAGCAAATAATAAAAAATTGAAAAAGGCCACCTTATATGGAAACCAACCACCAATGCATTATTTCACCTTATACCCTGCAAACAAATTATTGCCCATCTCAATATTAAATAAACAAAATGATTTTTTGTGCCTACAAAAAACCCTTGTATGAATGGAATGGCTTATGTCATCCATTCGTCACAAGTGCGGATGCGAGACTCACAAACAGAGCCTCACATCTTACACTTTAAAAAATTTATAAATTTTATGTTATTTCTGTGGGAGACGGACGGACGAAAGCATGATAAATTTTGATCTTTTGTTACATTATGCAACAAGCATTAGGGTTCTCGTCACTAAACATCATTAGAATATCACTATCTTCGCAGCAGTCAAAAAAAGGTGGATAAACATTTGGTTTTGCCAAATTGCCTTCATCAGACGCATCGTTTGGATTTTCTTCCTTGTCAACCACAATCTCTACTTTCTTGCCTGTCTTCTTCCTCAGTTTCTTCAAAACCTTTTGTGGGTCCATCTTCCCTGTCACAACAACCTTGTGCTTGTTCATGTCTGTCGTAAACTTCTCCACCCCTAATGAATTAACCCACAAACTTAAACAAGCAAAATACAATTAAAAATAATAATCATATGTTTAAGAAGAGATGAAGATCGAATTGTTCAAGTAATTTACCTTTGAGTTTGGACAGAGTTTTAGCAACGGTTCTTTCACATGCATTACAGTGCATTGAGACGTTGAATTCTGCCACAATTACCTAAATATGTATAATTAAGAAATGTAATAATTAATTTTGTAATTTTGAGTTTGGATTTAATGGTGAAATAATTGGAAATATAGAATCTTACTTTGGCTTCTTGATCATTTTTCTTCTTCTTCTTTCCCATTGACAATTTGACAGTGTTGGTGAGGAGAGGAGGCACAACATGCAAATTAACCATGCAGGGGAAATTAAGGGAAACGATATTGCCTTTGGCCTTTGAGAGAGAAGGCAGTTCGGTAAATATTTTTTTGCACGTGAGTGAGTTTGGTAAAAGCGGTTAATATTAATTTTGGGTTGGTCAATTACGGACATGCCCCTCTTCCTTGGTCGGAAAATCTCTTTGCCCCGGTGGTCATACAACCGCTAAATACTCTTTGCAAATTAAAACTGTGCCACATTAACGCGTATATTGATCATATTGCTGACTATCTTTCTAATAAAGGTGGACTCTAGTCTAATATATATGGGGCGTACATATATTAGAGATATAGTCAACAATGCGGTCAGTAAATATGATATAAATAACGTTTTTTGAATCAAAATACCTCTATGCATCTATTCTCGAAGCTATAAATATACCCTTTTCAAGGATGTTTATTTTATTCAGTTCGATCGAGTGGTACAGCTTATTGCTGAGTTGCAACCACCAAGCCCCTACCTTTATTCCCATTAGAAAAAAGGAAAAAAAAAAGGCAAACTATATGATATTACAGAGGTGACAATTAATAATAGACCATATAATTAATGAAGATATCTTAATCTTAATTAGCTGCATTAACAACCCTGCAATTCTTCCTAATCTCTCCATCATCCCGGGCACCTTTTTTGACTCCAATGGCACCCATTTTCTTCATTGAAAGCCCAAAGTTAGCCATGAAATCATGGAACCCTTGAAAGCTTTTTACAACTCTAGCCGAACGTGGGTCAGTGAGTAGGGCTGCATCTGATCTCAAGAGCCCTTTGTTGTGACTCAAACCCACAAAGTAATGGCTGTCAAAGGCAACTGAGCTGTTGGCGTCCAATGCCACTGCGACGGCCGGGTTAGGCGGGGTGGTGCATTGCGTTCTCAAGAACTGCGCGTATTCTGGATCAAGTGAAGGGTCGGCGTCACCTTTGCCTGTCGCATTCAGTCTCCTTTGAAATACAGCGCAATGTGCCACTCCAATTGTATGTGCCCCTACAAAATTTTGAAATTAAGGTTCTCTTGTCAGACAGTTTAAACAGTTAGTTTGAACCATTAACGAGATAGATTCTTATTTGAACGCGGAATTCAGATTCTTATATCTGTCTAGCTTGTTATATAACTTATATTTATATACCTGATAAGGCAACAAGATCTATGATGTTTAGGCCAAGCCCAGCAAATTGCTGTTGGAGGGTGGTGAAGTTTGCATTTCCGGAGGGCAAGTCCCTTGAAGCCTCTGTGGCAAGTGAGACTCTTCCATCTTTTCTGCCAGTCAAAACCTGCCACATGGGCCTCCCAAACTGCACAAGCGCCATGAAGGATATGAAATCTTACAAGAAAAAGAAGACGGAGAAAAAAAAAAAATTTGTGTGGATTCGTAACACTACATGATATGATATATATATATATATATATATATATATATATATATATATATATATATATATATATATATATATGTTTTCGTAACTGTGCAATTAAATGTATTTTTTTTCTTCATAAAATTAGAAATGATTTTAGTGTGCATGGCACGTACTTGGTAAGAAATTGCATCCCTGGCAGCCAAGGCAACAATATCAGCACATGAGACGATGTCGGGACATTCTTCCTCTAATTTGGTTTTGATTTCATCAATAACATCATAACCTCCAATGGACCTGTTTGGTATTGCATCCTTTTCCGCCGTGTTGTTGCCACTAGTTGAGTCTATCAATATTGATGCATCACATCCCTACAAACAAACAACATAAATATGCATGCATTAGGAAAAATTAATGTAGGGCGCATGATAGGTCATTGTGAACCGTAGATTAAACTGACCATCCGCTAAAGTCAATTCAATCAATAACGTTAAGAGACGTCACATCCGTACAAATTAATACATAATTAGTGAGGTGTATTATCTACTTATAAGTGTTAATGATGTATAAATTGAGTGCTTAAAATTAATTATACCCTAACAAAGCAATCATGGTAGTGGAGCCTTAGAAGCTTGGCTGCCAAGGTAGGATTTGCTGCAACCTTGCTCCATGTAATGCTCCTCACTATTCTTCCAATTTGAGGGCAACTCCTGCGATAGAACGCTGGGCTCAGGACGCGTCCATTGCAAACACTAACAACCTCTATGAGCACAAGAAGAGAAACAAACACAAAATTTAAATTGACAAGCCTCATGATTTTGATTATGGTCTTGCAGGAAGCAATGCCAATGTTTGTTTTCTGCTAATGAATATGCAATCCCAAAAGCAGCAAGACTCTATATATATAGTAGTAGCAAACCCACTTTCGAAGTTGATTCTTGGTTTCCTTGTGCTATAATTAATCAATTAAAAACCTATTTGAATGTTCTCTTTTCCAAGGGTAATTCTCTTCATGATATATTTTGAATAATTGAAGTATATGATTGGCTAAGTCAACTACTAATTAATCATTTGCCCCTTGCTTCATTGAACCAATGCTTTGACCGAAAGAAATGGGTTACCTATTAATGAGTATAAGAATTTGTGTATAGTTCATACTAACGCATAAGGAGTAAAAAAAAAACTATCTAGTTTCCACGTTAAAATCTATATATAATCCAATACTTGAAAAATCTCGGAAGTAGATTGATTAGAAAAGAGCAATTGATCTTGTACTCATTCCTTCTCTTCTATATTCCTAACTTCCTTGATTCATGTCGTGAACATGAGCGCAAATGTCTTAATGAGTTTGACATTTGCAATTATTAATTTACATTACTAGGTGCGATTGAACTTAGTTAGGTGACAAAATTTCAATGTTTCAACGTAGTTCAAGGTATACTTCTTACATATAATTAAGTACATGATTTTGCACGTCCCTATAGATTGACTATCTTGGCTGTCTTTTGTTGTTGCCTTACAGAAGACATAACGTACATGATGGCTGGCAATGGCATAGTGATACTAATTAAGTATACAAATATATAATTAATTTCAATGTATGTTTTTGGAGAGATCTGTGCACAAATGATGGAGAGTAAAAATAAAGCAAATGGTTGGGCGTTTCTGTTTCAGATAAACCTAGACGGCCATAACCATTATATTATATTATAAGGACGGCTTGTTTTTTTCCCCATGTTCACACTTCCATTTGAACAAGGATCCACTAAAATCTGGAAATTAATTTTGCGATACCATGCAATTTGGTATATAATCAATTTACTCTTTTAGGATTCAAAGGGTATACGAATTTCGTGATACTTTTATACCAACAAATTTTCTTATATTCATGTGAGTCGAACGTTAAATTTTCTCAAATTAAATGGAGATTGCTACCACGAAAACCAAATAATAGTCAATTAATTTAAGTTAATTACTCTTGTGATGTTTTTCTTTTACTTCCGTAGTGGCCGCATTTGCTTCAGGGGAAGATATATTGAACTCCAAATCACTTTCATTCAAAGCATAATATATGCAGGGGGTTCTCTTTGGTTTGAGGATATAGCTTCCGGATAATCAAACCTTCGAGAACTCTTTTTTTTTTCTGATGGCGCCTGAGAAAAGCTAAGCCTCCAATAAATCTTCAACCTAAAGGTAAGAGTAGTGCCTAAAACTCTATCTAAAACACAATGGCAAGGATACATCTTTCTTAATTGGACATATATAATCACAGTTACATAGATCACTGATGAAAGCTCCAGAAAGGGCATGCAAACACACCTTAAACATTTTCTCTATATCTTTAACACAAAACTTAAATTATGTATGCTTCTAAAGCCTAAGAACAATGACAGAGGATGACGAAATCTCCACCGAAAACTTGATAAAACAATTGGTTGTAGTGAGCTACTGGACCGTCTCTTAAAAATCTTAACAATATCTAACTGTAATCTCTCATGCATCTTTAGACGAAACTTAAATTATGTCTCTAATAATTAAGAAAGACAGAGGAGGTATGTAATCAAAAGTAATTACAAATTAAGGACTTGATGATGGGTACCCTACTGCCATGCAAGTCTCCCAAAAGAGCCTATCCTCCTCCATCTCATCCATGCTGTTGTTAACATGACAAACCATCTTTGATTCCACTTCTTGTTCTTCATCTTCCTCATAACCTGAGCCTGCATCTGACTGCAGCCACACCTTGCTACTACACCGACTATGCTTACGCTTTTCGGCATCCTTACAGTAACTATCAAGAGCCTCACAAGCACCAAATGCATGATCACTAAGTGTGCCCGAGCTGCATGACTCTGCATCCTCAGCTTCAAGTGCTATTTCTATTTTAGAGCTGTTGTTTGCATTCAGAGGGCCAGTGTGATGATCTGCCTCTGAATCTGCACTGCCTTCCCATAGAAAGAAGCAAGACACATCAACTAAACCCTCCTTGCAATCCATAATCTTCACTGCTTTTTCATTGAATTGAATATTAACTCTGTGGTGGTTAAATTTAGGTGGGTTTTGATCTTTGCCTATATAATGCTTCTTTCTTATAGGGCCATAGTTCAAAAACTCCCTTTTTTTTTTCTTCCCTGTTTGTTGATGCAACAGTGACAAAACGCACTTCTCACTCCTATTTGGTCAAAATGTGGTAGGTTCTCGCTTGACATTCCAATTTGTTGGTGGGTTCTGTCATCCATCCACTCATCTTTCCCAAACTGTTCATTTTGGATATAAAAAAAAAATTATTGCACCTAAGATATTGGATTTCTCTTTCCATTGCGAATTAATTTTAAATCTAATCAAATTGTTGACTGCATGATATAATTCATCAGTGCAAATAAGTCTTATTTACGTGAAAAATGTAATGAATAATGTGATCGATAAATATGATACATGACATTTACTATTGATTAATCGATACCGGTAAAGACACTAATAAATAGCAACAGAACAAAGGACTCGTGTTCATGATTATTTTTAAAGTGGGTTTGATAATCCCAATTTTTTTTTTTTTTGGTTTGGATAAATTGTTAACCAATCCCTTTTTTTTTTTATTTGACAAATTGATAATCAATTTAATGGTTCATTATCTGACTAGCTAACCTACTCCCTAAGCTCAGGTGCTAATTTCCATTAGCACAAAAAGTAAATTATAGATTATTAAAAACGCACTGCCAAATCTTGGGATGTGCCGACGAGCATTCAAGTGTTCCGACTCCTGTTTTCAGTGTCAAGCTACCACGCTTTCATATGATCTTTTAGATATTGTTTTTAAGTTCAGGACGTGTTGTTTCTTACATCTTCAAGATATCGTGTGGCTTTAAATTTAAGAGGTTGGTAAGTGACTATTTTTATTGACTACATGACAAAATTTTAGCCACTCAGTCTCCAATTTCATTTTAGCGCATTACAAAGTCACTGCACATTATAAGTTGTACAAAAACAAGTCACGTGAGAAGGGAGGTAGAGACAGGAGGTAGAGACAACCTGTGCATACAACCAGGGCATACCAGTTTGTCTCCTTTGCTAGTATCAATTATCAAAGCAACAGTCAGGTTGATTGAACACCCTGAATTTACTTACAGAGGCAATAAAAATGTCGGCCAGATAGTACAAGCTATTCTTCCATGGCAAAAAGGTTTTAGCTTCATAGCCATGGCACACATGCTAAAGGTTTACGAGTAACAGAACTTTTGTTTCGATCATTCGGAACTGTAGTTGCTTACAAGAACCAATCGAAAAGGCTACATGAACATATTCATCAAAATTGTTGATCATGTCCCCAGGACAACAAGAATAGAAATTACAGAAAACGGAGGAATGAAATAATTTTCAGGATGATCAAGGTCATCTCTCACTTTGTTCTACTCAGAAGAAACAGTGTAATTTCTTGTCAGTATTTTCAGAATGATCCCCGGCTAATAATGTTATCTTCTTCCTGCAGAGTCGCAAAAACGCTGTTCAGTTTTTTGATATACCAAACCTGTTTACAGACAAATCTTGTGCAGTATGAGAGTTAAAATAAAAACTAGAATAAGATGCTTTACCATGATAAAGAAGATATTCAAAATTCAACTATATCATGCTGTCAAATATCATAGGTTTTATTCACTTTCCAGGCATGGTTCAAGCTAAGCTCATAAACTGATTCTAATACTATCAGCTACCATTCCTACTTCGTAGAGATATTAGTCCAAATCAATCAATCGTGGAAACTAATGGCCAAGTCAAAAGATTAAAATCTGTGATCTGTATTACTATTATAGATACTAATACAGATATTGAAACAACACAAGGCAGATGACACCCCACACAAAAATGGTTTAGGATCACGAACCAGCCATAAGTTGTGGAAAAATAGGAAAACACTAACTAACAAGACAGTCAATTAGAGTCCGCTAGCAACTGTGAATCCTGAATTGCATCACGACTATAATCAGTCGCAGTTCTTGATATTGTATGTCGTACCAAGCAAATGGATTGCATTGTACAAAGTACTTTAGATTCCCACTACCAACATGCAATACTAAACAAACCTTATGAACATGCTGCCATCCAACTTAGGATTCTTTCCTTGCTTCTGCATTACGATCTTTCCAAGGATTCAGCGCATCTCTGATTGCCTGAGCCTCCGGTGAATTCTCCCAAGCCCGTTTCTCTGACTCCAAAACAGTTACTTTGTCATCTGCCCGCATGGAAAGAATGTAACTAAGAATTAGATTGTGCAACAACAAAATCAAAATGATAAGAGAGAATGCAACAGGCACCCTTTTGGTAAATATGGCACAGAACAATTCAACTAGATGAAGCCAAGCAACAAAAGTGGACATTCGAAAAGAAACAACAGTAACATGTAAAGGTAACTAATTTCTTGTAAAGATGGGCCAAAAGAGAGTGGATATTTTTTTTGTGTTTGTTCTTTTGCTGAAAGAAAAACAAATGGTTAGGACAGGAGACACCCGAGGCGAGAAGAGGGGAGAGGTGGCCAAAGACAACTTAGAGGGCCCAACCGTAGTCCAAGTGCACCGCTACAAGGGCTCAAATGGGGAGCAACACAGATCAAAGGAAATATTTAGTGGAAACTGTTGCTCCCCAAGTTCGAACTCCACTTGGGAGTAGCCAGCACCAACAAAAGTGCCAATTCAAAGGGTCCAAAAAATAAATAAAAACCGTGTCAATGTGAAACCTCATCTAAGTTCAGTTCAACCACCAATATCATTCATATCTAACATTGAATATACAAGTGCACATATAATGCCATCACAGCCGTTTTCAAAATTCCCTAATACAAGTCTGATGTTTTGCTTTCATACATTATAATAGTTATGAACAACCCTGTAATATTTATCAAATTACATGAATTTGCACCATACAATCACAATCTAATCAATTCTCAGAAGGAAAAAAATTTCTAAATTTAAGGATGAACTTAATCCTCTACCAAACAGTTAATTGCAAACTCCAGTTATAAATATCAGGGGCAGATAGATACTTCCACCCCAAAAAAGAAAAAGAAGAAGAAGAAATAATAGGCAGCAAAGCAATAGTAATCAGGAAAAAGAAGCAATTGGGTAAAGATGGAAAGGAGTGAAAAGGAGAGTTCTCATACAGAAGCCGGTTTTGATCATGAAAAACTCCATGGAAGCTCCAATAAGAGCCGACCCGAGTGCAATCTTTACATACCAATCCAGAAACTTCATTTTCACTACAGAACGACACATACAGAACCCAAAGAAAAAAAAAAAAAATCAAAAGTTCGATTTCAATAAGCATATTATAAAGGCATGTTTGCTAAAGAATTAAAAGGCAAAAATGAGAGTAGAGATTTACACAGCTCAAGAGTAGACGGCGTTCTGGTGAAGACTCTCCCTCTCTACCTGCGAGAGTGAGTTTTGCGTTTTGGAGTTTGGATTTGGACTCAGGAACTTCGAGATGGACCTGGCGTTTTGGGTTGCAGTTTCTTTTTCGGGAAGGTGCGATAATACCCTTTTCTTTTTTATAAGTAAAAATTATAACAACATTTGAACAAAAAATTAAAATAAAATCAAACCAACAATTTTTTTATATTTTTTATACAAGCGTTAATCTAAATTAATGTACATTACTTATAGGAGAATTCAAACTTGAATGTAAGCAGACGAGCTCACTGTCCTGACCAACTAACCTAACTCACTATTCTGATTAACTGACCTAACACACGTCTGCATCAAACCACATTTTATAATATCCAAAAAATCACCATCTTTAACTTGGATCTAACCCATCCAAATCTAACCCGACTTTAACTTTAACCCATAAATTATAAGCTACGTTTGCTAAACACGGCTCAACCCCAAATTGTAACTCGACACTTAATTTAAATGTTTTGTTTTATAGCTAGTTTGGTACTAAGATCTTTCTCAATATTAGACGATGTCTTGAGTTTGAATTTCTAGTCTACTCACCAAGTGAACCTATAATTTTTAATAAATCATGAATGGTGGAGTTGATTATTGTCCCATTATTCAATAAATAATTATTGAATAATGAAGGGTGTGTAGCTGATTCTTCCATGGCATGTGAATTTCTGCTAGTGCTATGCACACGAGAATAATAGCTAGCTTGTGAACAATTCTACAACTGATGGATTTTTGTTGGAGGCTGGTAGCGAAAAGATCCATTGTGTGCTGCTTTGTTTTCCTTTTGTTTCGTTTGTGTGTGGTGAATGAATTGAAAATGGTGTTGACGATGATGATGATGAAATTAAATGCGATGGGCCAACTCATAACTACAAGTAGGGTAGTTGCCCTCATCTCATGAATGATGCAATCCACATACTTTAATTAATCTAATTCATGTATTTTTAGGTATTGAATTACGAATTATGATGTGAAATTCACTTTTTTTTAATTTATAATTATGTATGTGTTACTAAACAATGAGAAATCAGTCAATTCAGTGAAAAATGACATTGACTTGCAAATCGGTAGTCTCAAGTTCGAACCCTCGTGATACCTTAATAGTATGTACATATTATCGCTTGTATTAAAAAAAACATTAAGAAGCTAAAAATCAGAATAATTCAATGGTGATACTCTAATGTTCATGCATCGATTAACTTGGAATATTTTTAATTTTGAAAGAAAAAAATCACCACACCAACAAATTATTTGGTAAAAAAAATGAATATAATATTGAAAGAAAAAGAAAATGCAAATGCAAATTATGCAACAAAGAAGTGGGCCCTTAAAAGCGAGTAAGAAAGTTTCTAAAAAGGGCGCGAGTGGGGGAGTGAATGCGGCAACGAGAAGAAAGCCTCTGGAGATATCAAACAAATTTCGCGTCATCTTCTACGCGACCGGACCAGACCAGCGTCTTCCTTATAACATTTCCTATTATTAAAATTAAAAAATAAATTAAAAAAAACTCCGCTGCTCATCACCACTCTCCCTATTTCCTTAAATCTTTCATTCCTCAGTATCTGTTTCAGATTTGTCACTCCTTTTTATTTTCTGGGTAATCTTTTTAATAAGAACAATGCAAGCCGCTCAAGCAGTGAGCAATGGAGCTGCAGAAGCTCCTCCTGCTCAGGTTTATCTCTTAATTTCCCTACCTCTCACTATATTTGTTTGTTACAATGTTTGCATTTACTACTTGTGGAGCTGTGTGCAAGCAGCATAATTCTTGGGGTTTTCCCCCCTTCTTCATTAAAAGAAAAAAAAGATTTGGGCTTGAATCTCCATTGATATAGCTCAAGAAACCAACTGGGTTCACTGGGCATCCCTTTTCTTCTTTCTTTCCATTTTTACAAATACTATCTGTTTGGTTTGCTGCTATATTTAAATTAGAGCTGGATTATAGTTATTTTTGTCTTTGGTGGTTGGTTTTCAGGTGATGAATCATTATCTGATAGCATTAAGACTGAAGTTTATGGGTGTCCAGTTTCTCATTTTACTGGTTTAATTTTAGGTTTTTTTTTATTGGAACTGATTTCAGACTTTCACATTCTTCTTTGCCTTCCTTAACTAGTATTTGCAGATCTTGATTGTGTTATGTACTGCTTTATAGTTACCTTTGTTATTATTGCAGATCTGTATTGTTTTAAAATCAGTATGGTCTTTATAGCCATTTGGCTGAATTGTGCAATGGGCACACCCTCCCACCCACTGTTGAAATATGGGTCGTTTTTCCTTTTGTATAAAAAATTTGAGTTTGTTGGAGTGATATAAGAAATCTTATGAAAGCTTATACGCCAAATGACAAGTAGTGTTAGATAATTGTTTTATGCAGGCTGGTCCCGAAAATGTGAAGGAAGAAGCTACAGACCCAGGACCCGCTGGGAGGCGCCCAGACATATCACTTCAAATACCCCCAAGGCCTGCAGCTTTTGGCAGTAGCCGCAGCGGAAAGGGTTTACTCCAGTCTCAAGGCTCCTCTAAGGGTAGCTCACTATCAGGTGGCCTCTTCCGGGGTTTAAGCTTCAAGAAAAAAGCTACTCTACCAGATGGTGAGAAAAGCTTCCTCCTTAGTACAGAACCCAGTAAAGCTCCTGAAAGTCCTACAATGGCCAATTTTGCATCAGCTCTTCCTTGGGCAAGATGTACCTCACTTCCTGTTACGCCGGCGTCAAATTTGTCCCCCTCTGTTTCTACACCTATCTCTGCGAGGATGTATAATGAAGTGCACAAGCCACATGTAAGTGGTCATCCATTCTAGAGTTTTCCCTAGTTTTTGAGGTTTGACATGAACTTATTTGTATAAAAATGATCATGCAACAAAGATAATTCCACTTTTCTCATGATTTGCCAGACAGAAACCATTATCAATGATTGAACTGACATTGTTGATATCTTTTTTTTTAATCCCATAAATGCTGTTTCCAAGAATGATGTCTGACCACTCATTATCCCACAAATGAAATGTGATTTATGTTTCCACTTTAGACACTCAGGGTATCTCTTAATAGTTTTATATTATAATTCGGCTCAATTTCGCCATTAAACTACTATATCTCTATGAAAAAGAAAAAGAAATCTGAATCATTGTGTTTCTCTCAAAATTTTCCCTTTTTAATGTGATGGTTTGTAAATCTGAAACTCATCTAACTGAGAAAAATCTGATATACTTCTGGTTAATGTTGTGCAGAAAGAAACTGTTCAGGCTACAGTTTCAAGGTCCCTGTCTGTGCCTGGACGAAATATTGTCATTGTAAGATCCGTATCTTTTGCTACTCGAAATGAGCAGACCCAAACAGATCCTAGTAATGGTAGGTAGTACATCTGCTGTTTTAGTTTCTTATTCATGCTGCACTGCACATGCAGCTTATATATTTGTAAGATTGGATGAATTTCCATCTTTCAGGGTATAGAGTCAGCTAAAGATAATCATCCTATAACTTCAAAGGTTTTCTCATTAAGTTCTTTCTACTGATTGCCTTATGTATTCCTCTTTTTCTCTCTCCTTGCCATTGGGATCTAGTTACATTCATTTCTGGTTAAGAAAATGGATCAGACTCAAATGAGATGCTTCTGAATCCTGTTTGGTTTGGCAGAGTGGTTCACCGAGCCATGCGCTTGGTCCCATGGAAAAAGTTAGGAAAGATTTGTAAAATGATTGCACTGTATATAATCCTCTATAAATTTGTTTTTGGCAAATCAGATCAAATAACTCCAGTTCCAGTGGGGGAGACCAATGATGAAGAAATTCCAGAAGAAGAAGCAGTGTGCAGGATATGTCTTGATGTATGTGATGAACAAAATACACTCAAAATGGAATGCTTTTGCAAAGGTGCTCTCAGACTTGTGCATGAAGAGTGTGCCATTAAGTGGTTTAGCACAAAAGGAAACAAGAAATGTGATGTATGTGGGAAAGAGGTTCAGAATTTACCTGTAACCTTACTTCGGGTGCAGAGCTCTGTTCAAAGGGGTACCAGACAGGAGCACAATCAACAGAGCTTGCGTCCAGAAACGATAAGGTGAGATATTGTGGGATTGAGATCTATTTAGAGATTCATGGTATCATTACTATTAAAGGTTGTGCATCATAAAGATATATGCAAAAAGAAAGAAAAAAAGGGATAGAAACCTTTATATGATGCGTCCATTTCCAGTCAGTCATGATGTCATGGATGTCCAAATAGATTTCTCCATCTTAAGTGCCAGAAGAGGATCCAAATTGTATAGTTTTGATCCACATATTTCTTATATTGCAGAGAAATTACAGCCATTTTAGCCACGTCATTGATTTATCAATAGGCAGTTGATAATGTCTGCTGTAGGGTTTTCTTTTTTAGCAAGTCACCCCTGTACTTTATTTATAGAATTCAATTTTGTCAAGCATATGATAGTTTGCTTCTATTTACCTTTTATAGCTAATTAAATCATAATTTTATGCAGTGCCTGGCAGGACTTTGTGGTACTGGTCTTAATTAGCACAATATGCTATTTCTTCTTCCTTGAGCAGCTACTGGTATGCCATTCTTCTATTGAAGAAACTTGAAGAACAAATTATTTGGTTTCCACTCAACTAGAATTATTCATGTCTCATGTTGAGTTATCTCAAATTAAATTCAAAATAATCCAGTCTGATTATGTGCAATTAAACCGTACGCAGCAATACACAAGACAATGTGTAAGAACACGTAACATGTGGCTCCAGGTGTCATGAAATTTTTTTTCCTGTTCATTTGTATGGTCTAGAAACTGTCTGAGCAAATACAGCGTCCCGAAAAGTACACACATTG